GAGAATGGATTGATATAGTACAAGACTTAAAAGAAAAAGTGCCAACCCAGAATACCTTATCCAGGGACACTCAGTCATAGCTGAAGGGGAAAAAAAAAAAAAAAAAAACCTCTAAGACAAGGAAAAATTGAATTTATCACCACCTAGTAAAACTAACAAATAAAACTTAAGCATGAACTACACAGAAAAGAAAGCCAACAGCATCATGAAAGAATGTGAAGGCAGAAAACCTCCTACTACAATAACAAAGGAGATTCAAAAGAAATGATAGAAATATTTATGGAAAAATAGGTGACCAAGTGATTATCGATAATAACCATGAATTTAAATGAATTGAATTCTTTGATTAAAACATACAGGACGGCAAAGTAGAATGAAAAAAAAATCTGTCGATATGTTGCCTACAAGAAACACACTTCACCATGAAAGTTACACATAGACTGAAAGTAAAAGGACAGAAAAAGAGACTCCATGCAAGTGGAAAGCAAAAATAAGCAGGAATAGCTATTCTCATATAAGATAAAATAGACTTGAAGACAAAAACATTGAAAGAGACAAAGAAGAGCATTATGTGATGAATGAGGGATTGATCAATGCAATCAGATCATGTGACAACTGTAAATGCCTGTCCATCAATGTTAGCGCACTTGGCTTTACCAAACATCAATGAATATATAGGGAGACATAAGTTCCCATAAAAAAAGAATGGGTGATGTCAACACCACATTTTCATCAATGGACAGATCAGCTAGGCAAAAAAACCAACAGAACGCAGCAAAAACAGTGTTAAGAGGAAGTTTTAGAGCAACCAACTAGCTTTTCATTTACTGATACTTTTCATAGTTTTTTAAATTTCTGTTTTGTTCACTTCTCTAATTTTATTTTTTCTTTCATTCTACTAATTTTAGGTTTGATTTGTTCTTATTTTTAAGTCCTTGAAATGTTTTGTTACATAAGTTACGTGATATCTTTCAATTATGTGATGTTGGCACAAATAAATAAACATGATACATCACATCAACAAAATGAAGGTCAAAATCATCGGATTACCTCAAAAAGTGCAGAGGGTATTTGATAAAATACAACATCATTTTCTGTTTTTTTTTTTTTTAAAAAAAAAAAAAAACCTTTAAATTTGGATATAAAAGGAATATACCTCAACACAATTAAGGCAATTTATGGCAAACCCACAGCTCGCATCATATGGAATGGGGAAAAGTTGGAAGCAGTTCCACTATGATCCAGACGAGAATGCCTACTGTCACCACTGTTATTGAATGTAGTAATGGAAGTTTTTGACAGAGCCATTTGGCAAGAAAAATAAATCAAAGAGATAGGAATTGGAAATGAGCAAGTTAAATTATCCCTGTTTGCACATGACAGGATCCTTTACCTAAGAGCACCAAAAGATTGCACTAAGAGATTATTAGAACTCATAAGAGAATTCAGTGAAGTTGCAGGGGTAAAAATCAACAGAAAAAAAATCATTATCATTCTTCTACATCAACAATGTTCTAGATGAAAAAGAACTTGTAAGACAGTCCCATTCAAACAGCTATAAAAAAGATGAAAAATAAGACATACCAGTGTAGATGTGAATAGGGAAAACGAATACGCTGTAAGTTTGATTGCAAATCAATGTAACTATTATGGAGAACAGAATGGCAGTTCCTCAAAATAAGAAAAAAGATCTACCATGTGACTCAGGTATCCCACTTCTGGGCAGATATCTAACATACACTGTCATATTAATTTCAGCACTATTTACAATAGTGAAGATACAGAATCAACCTAGGTGTGCACTGCTGGATGAAACCAGAAAGTGCTATTACTGCACATTCAGTGCGAATGAATATTACCCCAAAATAAATTATAAAATAATAAATGCTGGTGAGGTTCTGGAGGGATTCAGGGATAGAGGGAAGTAGGGTGGAAAGTATCACTACACTCTTTTTTTTTAAAATATTTTATTTTATTTAATGAACATAAATTTCCAAATACAGCTTATGGATTACAATAGCTTCCCCCCCATAACTTCCCTCCCACCCACAACACTCCCCTCTCCCACTCCCTCTTCCCTTCCATTCACATGAAGATTAATTTTCAATTATCTTTATATACAGAAAATCTATTTAGCATATATTAAGTAAAGATTTCAACAGTTTGCACCCACACAGAAACACTAAGTGTAAAATACTATTTGAGTACTAGTTATAGCATTAATTAAACACCTAGGAGTAATTGTGTATTAATTACAGAGTTCAACCAATAGTTTTAAGTTCACTACACTCTTAAAAGTTTATTTGTTCCACCTGTGGCATCAGCCTCCCATATGTGCCCCAGTTCCTGTCTTGGTTGCTCCTCTTCTGACCCAGCTCTCTATCTTTGGCCTGAGAAAGCAGTGGTAGGTGGGTCATGCCCTTGGCCCCTGCAGCCACATGGGAGAGCCAGAAGAAGCTCCTTGCTCCTGACTTCAGATCAGCCCAGCTCCAGCCATTGCAGCCATTTGGAAATGAACCAGCAGATGGAAGACCTCTCCCTCTCTGTCTCTTCCTCTCTATGTTTGTAACAGTGCCTCTCAAATAAATACATACATCTTTAAAAAAAAGAAACAAACTAGAAAATATATTTGCCATATCATCCGTCGACCCCAATACCTGGTAAGTACATAAAGATGTTGTCACAAAAAGTAACATACATCACCATGTTCATAGCACCACTGTTTCCCATAGCCAAACTGTAGAATTAACCAAGGTGTCCATCATCAGATGGAGGAATAAAGAAAATATGCTTTATGCACACAATAATTATTATTCAGCAATAAAAAATGAAATGCTATAATTTGCATCCTAATGGATGCAACTGAAGGACTTGTTGACTGAAACAAGCCAGACAGACAAATATCACATGTTCTCCCTTATATATGGGAACTAAGATTTCAAAAGAACAAAAGAGAAATAGAAAGAGAAAGACAAAGAAAAAAGAAAATGTATACTGTATGGTATCAGTATTGCTGCAAATATAGTTTTCTAAAATTTTATTTTATACCTTTGTCAAACTGCTGGTTAATAATGTTACACTGTGGCCTGCATTGTGGTGTAGCCAGTAAAGCTGCCACCTACAATGCTGGCATCTCATATGGGCATCTTGTATGTATCCAGGATATTCCACTTCTGATTCAGCTCCCTGCTAATGGCCTGGGAAACACAGCAGCAGGTGACCCAAGTGCTTGGTCCCCTGATACCCACGTGGGAGACCTGGAAGAAGCTCCTGGCTCCTGGCTTCTGCCTGACCCAGCCCTGGCAGTTGCGACCATCTGGAGAGTGAACCATGGAATGGAAAATATTCTCTCTCTCTCTCTCTCTCTCTCTCTCTCTCTGTGTAGCTCTCCTTCTCTATAACTCTTTTAAATAAATAAATAAATCTTTTTTAAAAAAGAATGTTACACTACTACAGTTTTAATGATCTGTGATTATTTGAAAATTTACTCTATATGAGTAAAATGGTAATTTTTCCAGTCAATTAGCATTTATAGTCATTGCCTATATTCCCACTAATCTAGGGTCTTTATTCTTTTTACTCATTAAACTTCTAATTTGGAGAAGCATTAAACCCTTGTTACTGTAATATAAATTCAATATGTTAATTAAAAAGGAAAAGAAAAAAAAGAAAGGATGAAAAATGAAAGAAAGAAAATGAAGGGTTAGAGGAAGAGAGACGGAGGGAGGGTGGGATGGGTCATCACTATCTGCTTAAATTTGTATCTGCAAGCTATTTTGAATCTTAAAAACTAATTAAAACCTAAAAGAAAAAACTGAAATTTAAAATACTATCTTATATTACTTACACACTTTCCAAAAGACTTTTAGAAATCTGTACAGCCTGGTTCATTCTATGTATTATTCAGTAATTTAATATACTTGACATGATAATGGCTTTAGGATGTTTTATGTATTTTAGTTTGCTTAATTTGGTGTTTATGGCTTCTAAAGGGATAAAATGAAAGAAGTCAAATTTATTTTAAATACTAAAATATTGAGAAATGTGGAGTTGATATCTGGGGCATCTTATTATTTGAGGATTTCTTTAATAGTCAATGTTTTTTTATTTAAGGTAAACAAATGTTATGTGGTTCACATGTACAAATTCGGGGACATAGTGTCAATTCCCACTGGACCCTCCCTCCCGCCTGTGCCCCCACCCTTCCTCCTTTCTTTCTTAGTCTCTCTCTGATATTCTATACCAGTACATCCCCAGGAATTTAACATTTTTCTAGGGAAACTCATTTAGTCAACACCTGAAATAGGTGGAAAGTTACCTTCTCTTGGAAGACGATATTAATAAGAGAATGTTGCCAATGTTTCCAGGCAGATGTGCTCGATTTCCTTTTTCTCCATCTTCCTCATACCTGACTCATCATGACTTTTCCTCTCAACCCCCTACCCTGCACCTAACCCTACCCCAAGGATCCCAGATACCCACATGTACTCTAGCTCTGATCCACAGCTGATGCAGGGGCACCCCTGAACCATCAGTCACCCTTGCAGCACTGCCTCACCTCTGTGCTCTATACAGTGAGTTTCTTTCTCTCCGGAATGCACTGAATAAACAACCACTGAAAACCTTTGCTAACCTGTCCTACAGGCTGACAATCCTTCACCTCATTCCCAGGCGCATCTATGGACTAGCTGCTACCATATCTCACCACAGGTCTCCAAATTTCTGAGAAAATCACTTTAAGTACTAAGGAGTCAGAATGAAACAAACCATGGAAGTAATGGAGTCAGTGGTGAATAAGAATCTTTAATAAAACAACATTTAAAATTGTGTTTGAAAATGGTAAAAATTTGCTGTCCACGCTTCATGCCCTGTGGTTGTAGCTGTAGCTGAGGTGTATTGCTAAGCAGAAGAGATGTGTCCAATCACCAGCATCTGAGACTTCTCCTGTATCACATCCACATGCAGGAGATTTTTTAGAATTCATGAAAAATTCCTCCATGTCAATATTCATCAGAAAATGGGTAATTTGGGTGTCCAGCCGCACTAAAATGAGAAAAATTGTACCATCTAAGATCAATAAACACATTTCGAGTGTATTGAAAGGACTGTTGTGAAGCAACCATGTTAGTAAAAATTAATATTCTTTCCTTTCTAGTTTCCAAATGTAACTTGTACGTATGAGTAATAATTTATTGTAAATGCAGTCATACTCAGTTTTTTTTTTCAAATTATATACCTTAACCTGGAGCTTAACCTGCAGAACATGCAAAATAAGAAATTCAAACATATTACTCTGGCTTAACTATGTCTTTCAATAATGCAAGGTGACACCCGGTGCTGTCTTATAGAAGATTCTCAGTGAAAAGAGAAGTGTATTTTGTCTGTTTTTGAACAAGGACACAGCGGAACACTGTTTAATACTAATATATTTCAGGGGGCATAGATCACTCCTAGGAAGTTGACAACATTTTTCTTAACTCTTTTAATTATTTACTCACTGACTATCATGCATAGCATGAAGCGATAAAACAGACTTCAATGTCTAAAGGCTTTTTGTATAGTTTACATATTTGCACTCTGTATCCTTGCATTATTTCCCTGGTGTATTCTTCATTTTTCTCCATACCAAGAAAACATTACCAATTATAATATATTGACTAATTTTGAGTATATGCAATTTTGCATGATGCTAATCACTTTCATTATTTTCACAATTATTTCTTCGTTTTAATGATTTATTTATTTCAGAGTCAAGGCTATAGACAGAGTGGGAGAGAAAGAGAGAGGTATTCCATCTGCTGGTTCACTATCAAATTGCCACCACAGCCAGAGCAAGGTCCAAAGTAAGGAGCTTCTTCCAGGTCTCCCATGTGGGCACAGGGGCCCAAGGAATTGAGCCAACATTTACTGCTTTCTCAGACCACCAGAGGGGATGGATTGAAAGTAGAGCAACCAGGACTTGAACCGGTGCCCATATGGCATGCCGGTGACACTTAACCTACTATATCACACCACTGGCCCCTATCACAATTATTTCTATCATAAATTTAAAAACCCAAAGATAGCAGGAAGGCATATTTCTTGTTATTCTTGTTTATAGTGTATTTTTGCTTAAATTCTATAAGGCTAGAGCTCAAAATGAGAGTAAAGATATATTATTGGAATAGCACTCTGGGCTCAGAATCAGCCCTTAAAGCATTCAGATCTGGCTAAAAAGCCCATGAGAGTTTCTCAGACTTGGACAGCCAAGACACTGTGGCAAAAAATGACCTAAATCAAAGATCTCTCACCAGCACCCTGGCACAATAGGCTAATCCTCCACCTGCGGTGCTGGCACACCGGGTTCTAGCCCCGGTCCGGGCGCCGGATTCTGTCCCGGTAGCTCCTCTTCCTGTCCAGCTCTCTTCTGTGGCCCGGGAGTGCAGTGGAGGATGGCTCAAGTGCTTGGGACCTGCACCCACATGGGAGACCAGGAGAAGCACCTGGCTCCTGGCTTCGTATCAGCGTGGTGCACCGGCTGTAGCGCGCAGGCCGTGGTGGCCATTAGAGTGTGAACCAACGGAAAAGGAAGACTTTTCTCTCTGTCTCTCTCTCTCTCACTGTCCACTGTTCCTGTCAAAAAATAAAAAAAAAATAAAAAAAGAAAGATCTCTGTGAATGAGATCCCAGTGGAAAGATCGGGCCATCAAAGAAGGAGGTATCTTTCTCTGAAGGGAGGAGAGAACTTCCACTTTGCTAATGGCCTTCTCTAAATAAGGTCGGAGTTTGTGAATTCAAGAGGCTTCCATAGCCTTGGTAGCTCATGATAAGAGCCTCGGGTGATCACTGACATCATAAATAAGAGTGTCAATTATTAAATCAACAACAGGAGTCACTGTGCACTTACTCCCCATGTAGGATCTACGTCCTTAATGTGTTGTATATGAGAATTAATGGTGCAACTGGTCTTCAGACAGTACTCTATACTTTGTGTGTCTGTGTGGGTGCAGACTGTTGAAATCTTTACTTAGTATATACTAAGTTGACCATCTGTATATAAAGATAATTGAAAATGAATCTTGATATGAATGGTATGGAAGTGGTAGAGGGAGATGGGATGGTTTGCAGTTGGGAAGGAGTTTATGGGGGAAAAACTGCTATAACCCAAAATTTGCATTTCAAAATTTCTATTTATTAAATAAAAGTTTTCTAAATAATAAAAATAAAGATAATCATATATACAGTTGAAAAAAGATATATATTATATATTGGATATACATTCTCTCCCCTTGTGTGCTTTTGACTCCATTCTTATTCTTTTACTTTCACTCTAACTTTAAGATTTCATTCTCTGCATCAAGGTCACCATACTTCAGAAAATCATGACAAAGTGTTTCTATTCACCATTTATGGCCAAACTCTGTGGGGAGCAACTCGGACTAGACTGTTACTCGAATTAAGACTTATTCTATGCATCTGCTCTCCCACAATATGGCGCTGAGAAGGGAGTAACAACTTCTACGCAGCTGCCTCCAGTTCAACCAATAAACAGCAGGACCTGCTCCTGATTGGAGGAGAGCAGCGTACTCGGCGTGTGGGTAGCAGAGTTGGGATTGGTGGAAGAGGACTATAAAGGAGGAGAGAGACAACATGCACCAGGAACATCTATCTGAAGGAACACCTGTGCAGCCCCCGAGAGAGCCGGCCGGCGGTGTGCCGCTCCCCCGCGGAAGTGGGGAAAGTGGCAGGGGGAACGGCCCTTCCACGGAGGTGGAAGGGTCGGTAGCCAATCCGGGAAGAACCAGCAGCAAACCCGGGGAGGGCCGAGCAGACAAAAGAACAGCGCAGGGTTTAGTGTTGTTCCTCCACGAAGATGGGGAGCGATATAATGGTGCCGTGACTCGGATATGAAGCCTAGGCAGGGTTTAGTGTCGTTCCTCCACGAAGACGGGGAGCGACAAAACTCCATCAAGAGAAATGCAGTGTTTGAATCCTTAGCAAACACAGAGAAAAGCAAGGGAGAGATTTCAAACTACTAAAACATAAAGTTGCAAGTATCTCAGGGGAAATTCCATAGGGAAGGTGAAGTATTTCTGCCTATGTAAGTCCCAAGTTGACTTATTTTGTATTTCTTTTCATAATAGCATGTAAGTGTTAGGTATATATTACTTTCATACTTATTATTAGTAAGATATCTATGCTTTACAGACTAGGAGTGTTACCAAAAGATTTCTGCAAACAAAGTACTGTCTCAAGTAAAGTATGTTTTGATCTATTTCTGAAGTGATATTTATAATGAACATTGTAAATACTTGTGGATCATTGGATATTTGTCTTAGCATACCCAAAACCATAAGATTGCCCTGGGGGCCGGCACCACTACTCAATAGGCTAATCCTCCACCTGTGGACATGGCACCCTGGGTTCTAGTCCAAGTTGGGGTGCCGGATTCTGTCCTGGTTGTTCCTCTTTCAGTCTGGCTCTCTGCTGTGGCCCAGGTCCTTGGGCCCTGCACCTGCTTGGGAGACCAGGAGGAAGCACCTGGCTCCTGACTTGGGATCGGTGCAGCCATAGTGGCCACTTGGGGGATGAACCACTGGAAAAAGGAAGACCTTTCTCTCTGTCTCTCTCTCTCTCACTGTCTAACTCTGCCTGTCAAAAAAAAAAAAAAAAAAAAAAAAAAAAAAAGAGTGCCATTGGGTTAATTTTCCTTATGAATTCTTCACTAATGATTGTGTATCAAAATTCACGAAATAAATTTAACATTATGGTAATACCCATTTGTCTGTCTTCATTCTCCAAGAAAATATTCTTATAAATAAACTTTCAAGACCTCTGAAAATAGTATTCATTTCCTTCAAAATGCTTCTTTCTCTCACTTTTAGGTACTTAAATAAGCAATTTTAAAGAAATAGTCCACTACCATAAATAAAAGTCAAGTCACGGGACTGATGCTGTGGCATAGTAGATGAAACCTCCACCTGCATTGTCAGCAGCCCATATGGGTGCCGGTTTTTAGTCCCAGCTACTCCTCTCCTAATCCACCTTCGAATCAGCACAGCTCTGGCCCTTGCAGCCTTTTGGGAAGTGAAGCAGTGGATGGAAGACCTTCTCTGTAATACTACCTCTTAAATTAATAAATAAACAAATCTTTTAAAAAAAGAAAAAAGAAGGCAATTCACATGATGAACACTATAAGCTAAAGTTTTCCAAATTCTCAAGGTTTCAAGAAAATTCTGTTTAGAAAATATACCAAAAATAAATCAGTCATTTACAAAAGTCAGGATTTGATTTGCACATTATGGTTCATGTGAATTTTAGTTTGTAAATTCTTGGAAAGAAAATATTCTTCTTGGCTTATGAAATAAACCAACATGCTAAGTAAAAAGATTTCTGCCTATGACCACAGATTTGTTGGATATACCTTCAATCTGGTAAGAATTGAGAAGGTTTGTGGAAAGAAGAAGTAGTCATCATTTTGCAAACATTTAATTAGGTGACACAGGTGTTCCCCAGTGTTCATGCCTACAGATAGTTGGAGATAAGAGTCTAATACCCATCCTACATTCCTCTTCAGGAAATGAATGAAGGGAATGCCTTTACCAAAAAACTTACAATTCAGCATCAGCATAGCGAAGATTTCTGTTCAGACCATCTAGAACGTTCATGTCCTCTGAAGATAATTGAAATTGAAAAACCTGTTAGAGAGCAGAAATTATTATTATTTTTATACTGATAATCTGAAAAATCCTGGAATGCTTCTCAGCACTTCAAGACTTCAAAAAAAACAGTAATCAAAAACACTGGCCCAACATCTTTCCTCTTTTTATTAATATTACATTAAAATGAAACAATAAAGTATAACAAACAATAGAAATTAAAAGGGAATAAAAAATAAATAGTGACAAAATAAAATATGCATTACTAGATTATTGATACTGTACAATTCTACGCATAGAGGATAGCTCAAATTTTGTAGTGGGAAAACAAAGCTGACATTATTTAAAAATGACCGGGCCATGTGACTGCAAGATACAGAAGAATTTATAATAAGCTTTGAAATATCTGAGATAAATTAGTAGCATTCCTCAACACAGTTGGATTTGATATTCCATAAATGAAAGAACAAAAAAGAAAGGTTGACAACTTGATTGTTTAAAAGTTCTTATTTTTTAGTAGAATAATGGCTGCTCCTTATGAGTATAGAAAAGGCTATAAAAAATAAATCTCAAAATGTCAATTTTAGACAAGGCCATACTCATTGTGGAGGTTCTTTTCCTCCCTTCAGAGAAAGGTACCTCCTTCTCTGATGGCCCATTCTTTCTGCTGGGATCTCACTCACAGAGATCTTTCATTTAAATTAACAACAGGAATCACTGTGCACCTATTCCCCATGTAGGATCTCTGTCCTTAATGAGTTGTACTATGTGAATTAATGGTAAAACTACTAATCAAATAGCACTCTCTATTTTGTGTGTGTCTCTGTGGGTGCAGTCTGTTGAAATTTTTACTTAGTATTTACTAAGTAGATCTTCTGTATATAAAGATAATTGAAAATCAATCTTGATGAAGAATGAGATGGGAGAGGGAGTGGGAGATGGGTTGGTTGTGGGTGGGAGGGAGGTTATGGGAGGAAAATCTGCTATAATCGAAATCCAAAAGTTGTACTTTGGAAATTTATGTTTATTAAATAAAAGTTGAAAAAAATGTTAATTTTGATAATTTCCATTACACATTTTGTACTCTGTATATTAGTTATCACAAACCAGAAAAAATAAAATATTGGCAAATCATTATGGAAGACAGAATGGAGATTCCTAAGAAATATGTAAATAGATCTACTGTATGACTTGGGAATTTACCCAAAAGAAATTAAGTCAACATATGAAAGTTGTCTGTACTCTCATGTTTATAGACACTCAGCTCACAATAGCCACCATATGGAATTCACACAGATGTCCACCAGTTGATGACTGGGAACAGAATTGAAACACCAGAAATCAACCCAAACCTCTACAGCCAACTTATATTTGATCAAGGATCTAAAACTAATTCCTGGAGCAAGGACAGTCTATTCAATAAATGGTGCTGGGAAAATTGGATTTCCACGTGCAGAAGCCTGAAGCAAGACCCCTACCTTACACCTTACACAAAAATCCACTCAACATGGATTAAAGACCTAAATCTACGACCTGATACCATCAAGTTACTAGAGAACATTGGAGAAACCCTTCAAGATATTGGCAAAGGCAAAGAATTTCTGGAAAAGACCCGGGAGGCACAGGCAGTCAAAGCCAAAATCAACTATTGGGATTGCATCAAATTGAGAAGTTTCTGTACTGCAAAAAAACAGTCAGGAGAGTGAAGAGACAACCGACAGAATGGGAAAAAATATTTGCAAACTATGCAACAGATAAAGGGTTAATAACCAGAATCTACAAAGAGATCAAGAAACTCCACAAAAACAAAACCAACAATCCACTTAAGAGATGGGCCAAGGACCTCAATAGACATTTTTCAAAAGAGGAAATCCAAATGGCCAACAGGCACATGAAAAAATGTTCAAGATCACTAGCAATCAGGGAAATGCAAATCAAAACCACAATGAGGTTTCACCTCACCCCGGTTAGAATGGCTCACATTCAGAAATCTACCAACAACAGATGCTGGTGAGGATGTGGGGAAAAAGGGACACTAACCCACTGTTGGTGGGAATGCAAACTGGTCAAGCCCCTATGGAAGTCAGTCTGGAGATTCCTCAGAAACCTGAAGATAACCCTACCGTTCGACCCAGCCATCCCACTCCTTGGAATTTACCCAAAGGAATTTCAATTGGCAAACAAAAAAGCGGTCTGCACCCTAATGTTTATTGCAGCTCAATTCACAATAGCTAAGACCTGGAACCAACCTAAATGCCCATCAACGGTAGTCTGGATAAAGAAATTATGGGATATGTACTCTTTAGAATACTATACCGCAGTAAGAAACAACGAAATCCAGTCATTTGCAACAAAATGGAGGAATCTGGAACACATCATGCTGAGTGAAATAAGCCAGTCCCAAAGGGACAAATACCATATGTTCTCCCTGATCGGTGACAACTGACTGAACACCAAAAAGGAAACCTGTTGAAGTGAAATGGACACTATGGGAAATGGTGACTTGATCAGCATAGCCCTGACTGTTAATGAACAACTTAATACGTTATCCCTCTTAGTATTGTTTTTGTGTGTTCTACTTAATATGACTGGTTTAATTCTGTAATTAATACACAGTTATTCTTAAGTGTTGAAATTTAACTGAAATGTGATCCCTGTTAAACATAAGAGTGGGAATAAGAGAGGGAAGAGATGTACAATTTGGGACATGCTCAAGCTGACTTGCCCCAAATGGTGGAGTTAGAAACATACCAGGGGACTCCAATTTAATCCCATCAAGGTGGCATGTACCAATGCCATCTCACCAGTCCAAGTGATCAATTTCAGTTCACAATTGATCATAATAAAAGGACTAAGAGTCAAGGGAAGCACATAAACAAGTCTAGTACCTGCTAATACTAACCGATAGAATAAATAAAGGGGATAATGATCCAACATGGGAAGCGAGATACTCAGCAGACTCATAGAATGGCAGATGTCCTATACAGCACTCTGGCCTCAGAATCAGCCCTAAAGGCATTCGGATCCAGCTGAAAAGCCCATGAGAGTATTTCAGGCAT